AACAATAGAATATCACTATAACGTTTTTATTTTTTTGTTTTAAAATTTATGCACACATAGGAAACTTGATCTTCTGCATCTGCTATGTGTAATCTGTCAGAGCTCATTATTTCGCAAGTATTCGAGACGGTGATCTTACAATTGAATAAATGAGTTCATCAATCAAAGGAGCAGCGCTCTACAATACGTCTAAGTGAGACAAAACAACAAAGCATTTTTAGCAAATTGAAAAATTCACGACGCTCATCTGTTTGCCAAAAAAACAAAGTGTTAAATTCTTACAAGACCTTGAGTAAGAAACAAAATTAAAAAAAAAAAAAAAGAAAAAAAAATATCACGACCTTGAGCAAGCCATGAGCCACAAAAGCATCTTGAGAAAACTGAATCGTTATATAGCGTTTTTTTTTTCTCTCTCTCTCTCTCCCTCGAAAGGCACCGCTAACAAAGTAAGGTTAACTTTCATTCCACCCGCCGTTTCCCCATGATCAGAAAACGAGTTTTTTTTCGATCAGTATAACAAAGAAAGAATACATCGAATTTAAGAGAAATTTTTTTTGGCAAATTATTAAAAATTTATTAATATAGAAACTTCTTACCTTGTCATCTGACACATTCTCTCCGGCTACGCCACTGAGAAGTGAAAACCTTACAGGTGAAAATCGTTTTTTGAACAATTGGTCACAATTTTTTTTTTTTTTTGAATGTTCAATCGTCACTTTTTTTTCATTGTATATATCGATAATTTAGATGATATTAAAATGATTTTTCTTCAACGAAAAATAAATTATATATTTCACACTTAAAACTCACAGTATTCTTTGTATTCACAGCATATCGTGTTGAACATAAGACATCTTGAGCCTCAAACCACCTCAAACATACAATACTATATGAACGCAAAACGCTTTGCAAGTGACGCAAGGCAGAGTGAGTGAGAGAGGCAACGGAAGAGAGAGATAGAAAATTGTTCAAGTAGTTGCAAACATTGTCACAGGCGGCGCTACCTATCAGACACTCTTAACAATGAAGGTAAATTATCATTTCTGCATCAATATTGTTGCAAGTTTTATTTTTGTTTTCTTTTTAATTCACAATGGAAAATAAAAATATGATTTTTTAAAGATAGTTTCACATAATTAGAATTTCGATTAAAAAGAGGAGACAAGAAATATGGTAAAATTAGTTGTTTCTACTTTATAGTATTTATCGGTAGAGATTCTATTATAACTACATAGTCAAAAATAAGGAAAATTTATAAAATATTATTAATTATAATGCACTTTTTATAATGTATTATATATATATATATATATATATATACATTCTGATATTTTTCGATAAAAATGATAAGTTGACGCAAATATTAAAAAGAAGCAACATTTTAAGGTTATAAGTTTTTGAAAATATTCCATTGTTTCTACGGAGGAATATTTTACTGCTAATGAGAAAAAAATTGTTTACTTCATTAATAATAACAAATATTATTAATTAAAATTTCAATATTATCGAAAACCTTACTTTAATTACAGTTTTTTCTTTTTTTTTTTTTTATTTAAAAGTTATTTCGTACGTTACCTATATAAATTAGCAATAAATTATGTCCGATGTCGCACTTATTGATTTTGTTGCAATTTTGAACATACAAAAATAATTAAATGAAAAATATACTGTTAATATTATATTATCAATAATTATTAACAATATACATTTAATTTCGTATTAATAAATTAAATAAATTTATGGAAAACAATTTATCTACAAAATATTTAATTACTTTTATATTAAAATTTGTTCTCATTATAGAGAATGGAAGATAATTTTCCAATTAACGAATTTTCACGAAGCTGAAGTACGCAACGTTTATGATAAACGATTTTTAAAGAAATAATTTTCAAAAATGAAAAATTCTATAATTTTTTGCCTAAAAAAATATTTCTTATAGTTTACATTAATCAACAAATTACAAAAAAAAATCTATTTTTTAGACAAAAAATTATAGAATTTTTCATTTTAAAAAATTATTTCTTTAAAAATCGTTTATCATAAACGTTGCGTACTTCAGCTTCGTCGAATTTTCTATTTTTTTTATTAGTTTTTTTGCATCTTTTATTCATTTTCAAAAGGTGACAGAAAAACAAATTTCATCAGTTACAAAAATTATGCACGATACAAAAATTTTTTTTTCGACAAATTTGTAATATGTAATTTTTGGAAAAGTGAAGCTATATATTTTTTCAAATAAATTTTAAACATTTTTAATATAAAAGTCGAAATTTAAAATGAAACAGTTTTTTTTCAACAATTTAAGCCAAATCATTTTTGAACGAATATGTCGTTTTATATAGCGTACATTTTTTTTTTTCTATAGAATATTTTTAAGACGGATGAATTAATCTTAAATTATTATATATGGCGAATTGTTCACTTAATTATAAACCACTATAATTCGGTTATAAATACTCGTATTGAAAGTCGTTAATTATATTTTTTAACATTGTAGACGGAATAATTGCATTCTACGTCGATATATTCGACATTTAAATATACATTTTGTATATATTATAGAATATTATTAAAGGATTATTTCTACTTTCTATAGTATTCGATACATTTAAAAATAAGTAACATTTAACAATGAAAAATAATTATTTTCATTATTATAAATGTTACCAATTTTTTATGCGATTTTTAAAATCCGATAATATATATATTTGGCACAACATCCCTTTTTTTTTTTTTTGTTTCTCGCAACTACTTAATAATATATTTGTTTTTAATTTGTAAATTTTTTGTTTTTAATTTGTGAGTCATTATAATTATTATGTTTATCTACTAGATTACTTTCATTTTTTTTACTTTCCACATATCACTACTTTCACTTGACTTTTAAATTGAAGCAACAATAAATTTCTCGTTACATTTTTCGTTTCGATGCGTTGAAAAAAAAAAGAATAATATTGTATCACAAACCCCAAAAAAAGCAATGTCTTTGATTTAAAGATTTTTGAATTAAGAATAATTTCCTAAAATCAAAGAAATTTCTCATAAAAGATGGGAAAAAAGTAAATTCTTTTTTTCTAACTTTAAAAAGATTATAAAATTGTCATTATAATTTTAGGAATATAATAAAAAATACTAAAAAAATATTTGCTTTAATAAGAAAGCAGCAATGTTAAAACAAATTTCGCCCTTTTAATAAATTAAAAAAAAAAAAAATACTTTGTCAGTTGGATTGTCTGAAATCGAGTCTATATATAATATTTCGAAATCCAACATGATTTTTTTCACGCAATTTTTTGTGTTGTTTTTTTTCTATACTTGAAAACATCTTGGCACTTGATATATAGTAAATTTTCGATGGACATATCCCAGATAACATTTTGCACTCTGGAAAGTTATATATATTTAAAAATAAATTGAAGACATTTTTCTAGCGTAAAAATCTTTAAAGCATTTAATATATCTAAATGCAATTTAAATACTTTCTCTACAAGCATGTCTAAGTTTTTTTAATTTTGTGCAGTTATCTTTTTTTTTTTTTTTTGTTTTTTTTTATTTGTTTTCTGGGATTAAACGTTTAATATTCTAGTTTTCTATGTGTGTATACATATATTATGAATAAATTATTAAAAATCGAAGACTTGATTCAGTAAATATATATGTATATAAATTCATATTTGTTATCTGCGTATGACTAGCATATTTAAAAATTTATCACATTCTATATTGACTATCGTGTTACGGGCGGAACATTGATATTTTCCGAATGTGCGTAGAGTCCCAATTCTCTAATTGATTTTTAAGTTTTATTAAAATTGTTCATTTTTTTCATAAATATACACGAAAAAAAATTATCAGTGAATTATTAAATTATATAAATTGTATTTAATAAAGTTTTCTCAGCTATTACTAAAAATGTTCAATTTACTAAAATTTTGTAATTTTTTTTTTTAGAATTTATAAAATTTCTAAATTTACAAATTCTTTTTTACTCAATTTAAAAGACAAATTAACTCCGTTTTTACAAATTAAATATTTAGATTCTTTAATAATTAAAAAATTAATCGAATAATTTAATTCAGTGTTCTTTTCAATATTAAAAATTTGATAAATTTTTTTTCGTGTATAGATCATTATTATTATTATTAGTATTATTATTATTTACTATGTCTAGATCTGCAAAATTAGGAACTCAACATTTTTTTTTCTACTGCGCATTCGAAGAAATTATTCAAATATTTCATGACATTGACAAATATCATTTAATAAATAAATTTTTCTTTAAACAATAATAATCAATCCCTGCTTAAAATCGAACCATTTCAATATTATCAGGTTATTTTGAAAATAAATTATTAAGCTCTATATATATATTGACTCAATGAAATATTCAAAGCATATTTTTATGTATATATTATATATATATATAGTCTTCTTTGGAATTTTTCAATTCATGTTAAAAATTGTTGTTTAATTTTTCAACAAATGAATTTCATTTTTAAGATTTTATTGTTGTGAATAAAATTTTTATCGTGTTCACTTTTCATTTTAAATTAAACAAATTTTTTTAACATGTGAATTGAGAAACTGTGTTAAATATCTTCTTAATTGATAAATCTCTTAATCTGAATTACTCGAAATTTTTCAATATAAAATAAAAAATAATTATCGTTTATCATTTAATTTAGTGAAATTTTAACAAAAAAAAAGATATAATTCTTAAATAATTTTAATTTTCTACTTTAATTAATAATTATATAATTAATTATCACATAATGAATAATATATAAATTAAATAATATATAATATAAAATAAATAAATGAAATAAAAAATAAATATAAAAATATAAAATATACAATAAATATAATATAATAACAAAAATCAAATAATATTAATAATTAATTACATTTTTATTAATCTACTTCGATAAGATTTTTTTTTAGTAATTATAATAAAAAAAAAATAAAATAAAATTTCTGTAAAAAATTTTCTACAATAATTAGAATTTAATTAAAAGAAATTTTCAATTAATTATCTTATTCGTGAATTTTGATTGATTCAGATTTAGAGAGAATACTTTCAAAAGTTTGATTCATTTTTTTTTTTTGCGCAGACTGAACGCGAAAGCATTACAGAAACTGCTGCATATTTCTTATCAGCTATATGACTAGAATTTTCACTCGTCGCAGAATAAGGAGAACTCTGCGAATTTTTTGATATATTATATATATATACTTATAATATACGAATCGAAAAAAAAATAGTTTCTTATGATGCTTCAGTATTTTTAATTGAATCATCAATAGGAAGACCAATTGGTGTGGGTGCTTGTTGGCTTCCTGAGACAAGTCCTTGCATCTCGGAAACACCTTGAAAAAGTTTTCCTGGAAATCCATGAAGTAGATCATATGATACAGGGGTAGATGGCAATGCAGTGGTGTGTGCATGAGGTGATTGAAGCACTGCTATTACTCTTCTAAGTTCATCTAGGGCATTTCCTAGAGAGAGAGAAAAAAGGTTATAAAATCGAATTAAGACGACACATCCATTAGTTTAAATTACTTTCCACCCGCGCTTATACAAAAAGCTTTTATATTTATTTTTAAGACACAAAAATCATCTTGAAATGAATCTGATTTGTTTTCTTTTGTTGTTAAATGAGAAAATTCTCATTTCTGTCACTTTTTCTTATTTCAGTTACATTTTATTTACGTAACTTTTTTTTATGGAGGATTTCTTTCTGTTTTTGTTGATGTTGACAAAGAGATTACACATTTATTTTCTGTACATTATTTGAGGATCTAAAATTATCAAACTTTATGAAAACTTAGAAAATAATTGACCGTTTTCAATTTTAATAATATTTTATAATTTTTGATTTTAAAGAGTAACAGACAAAAAATTAGTATCCCTATATATAATAAATTTTAATTTAACTAAATCGAAATTACACTGTTGATTCTCTTAAATTTAAATTTTTTTTCTAACTTTTATTATTTTTCAATAACTATTTTTTTATAGTCTAAATAATGACACAAAAATAATTATCACTTTTTCACAACGTAAATTTCATTGTGTCGGAATGTTAAAATTTTACATACGAGAAATTCAAAAATTTTGAAAAAATCGATTTTAAACTTTCTTCATTGAAATTTTAGTTTAGATTTAATATTTAGATTTTCAATAGTTTTACAAGTAAAATATTCTCGATGAATGTAGAATATTTAGTTTAAAAAAATAGTTTATTGGAAAAGAGAAAATTCTATTTTAAAAGAGAGAAGGAGTATTATTTATATTTTTTTTAGGCTTAAAAGTGTGAATTTAAAGTACTTTATATTTAAATGTAAAATCAGGTTTATAACAAAATCTTATTTTATGCAAGTTTCAATTTTGAACTTAGTCTTATCAATGCTAATTTAATTGAATTTCAAATGTTTCTTGAAATAAAATTTTCTTTAATTATTATTTATATTACCTTGCATGAGAATATAATTTTTTGCCAATAAAAGTGTTGCTATTTTCGAAAGTTTTCTAACGGACGGACTGTGAGCATAGGGAATAACAGATCGTAATTCATCCAGTGCATCATTTAAATCATGCATTCTTCTACGTTCTCTGGCATTTATATTCAATCTCACACTTTTTCCCTGACGAGTTGTTTTTGATTTTGAAGGGCAATTCAGTCTTGAAGTTTCAGGTCTAAAACAAAGAGGCAAAATATATATTATTCCTTTTTTTTTTCTTTTATACCACTATATCCCATATTCTTTTGTTTTTTAGAAAAATATTTTAAAGTTGTAATTAAACAAAATACTCTCTATAAATCTAAATTAGTAAAAATGTTTACTAATTTGAATTGACTCACTTTTTGCTTCTGAATTAGTTAAATTTGACTAATTATTAGTAAAAATTATTAATAATTAGTAAAATAGTATTAAATTAATTAGTAAAAGTTACTAATAATTAGTAAAATTTTACTAATTCAAAAGCAAAAAGTGAGTCACTAATTCAAATTAGTAAACATTTTTACTAATTTAGATTTAGAGAGTAAGGATATCAATAAGTTTGATATTTTACTAAACGAAGGAATAGAACTTTTTCCAACATTATATTATTATAATTATATTATTTATAAGATTATTGTAATTTATTGCAGAATCACCTTTCTTGGTCTGGCTTATTTTCATCGGACAATGAATTAGATGAAGTTTGCGGTTGTGGTTGTTGCTGAAAATAGAAACCACCGAGTCCTACCGCTCCTAAAGGAGTTCTTCTTCCTGGTGCACTTTGAGAATGTTCCGAAGACGAATAACCAACTGGAGGTCCAGATACACTTGGATGAGGAATTCCCACTGGATTAAAATTCATTGAACCCATCGATTCTCCCGAATGAGCTGGCAACTGATGCAGATAATGTGAGTAAATATTTATTTTAATACTTATTATTTTTCAAATTTTATACTTTTTTTTTTACTTATTTATTGACTGTTATTATCCATATGATAATGATTTTACTTCTATATATTTACATATATAATTTTTAATTAAATACATCTCTTAAAATTTAAGAGAAGAAAAGTGATAGAAATAAATAAAATCATTATTACTATTATTTTTATAATTATTATATTATTATATAATATAACAATAATAATAATTAATTTCACCAATAATTTCTTACATTTTTGAATTTCTTTTTTTTTTGTATTTAATTCTCCGGTAATATTTGAAATATTTTTTTAATTTTTGGAAGTAAATAAGTCTCTTACTTCATTGCGATGTTCCCAAGCCCAAGTAGGATGAGAAGCTGATCGTTGCCAAGGTTGTAAATGTACTTCCGGTAAAACCTCTCGTTTGTCATCTTCTTCCCCAGAACTACTTTCACCGTCATACGATCTCATTTTCCAAATTTTCCAAATTTTTTGCGCCAATTTAGATGTCTGAAACAAATAATATCAGTTATTCTTTAAATAATTATTCATTCAATTTTCAATTTCGAGAATAAAAAATTAAAATATTATTAATATTTTTGTTTATTTTTCTATTATTCTATTTTAATATATTAAGTATTTATAATTTTTTTAAATTCTACATATTTTTTTGAAAAATAAAAGAATAGAAATTTGATTGAAAAAAAAATACGTTATTAAAATTAAAAAGTTCTATTAAATTTAATGTAAAAATTTTAATGAATTTTCTTATAAAAAATTAAAATTTAAAACACTTCTTTTGAATGAATTAATATTTTCTGAAATGAAATAAATTTTAGTATCAATACACATAATATTTCAAAGATATTTATTTTTTTAAAAGAAGCTTTCTTTGATTTAAAGATATATTTAAAAAAAAACCCTTTTCTTTGCATCAAGAAAAATTTATTTTCAACCGAACATTTTATTTAAAATACATAAATTTTTTTCACTTAATTAAGAAGTTTATTTTTTCATTCTAATAATTAAAAATTAAAAAATATTAAATAATAAATATTTATGCTTTAAAAGAAAAATAAAAATAAAATATTTATTAAAAGTATTACATATTTCTTTTTTTCTTTAAAAATATAATTTAAAAATCTTTTATTTTTCATTTCAAAAAAAAAAAAAAAAAAAAAAAAAAAAAATATGCAAAAAACAACTATTTATTAAAATATACACCGAGAGAGTTGACGCGATTGAATCTGCCATTTCAAGGACAAAAGCTCTTCATTCTATATCAAAGCGAAGAAAGATCGATAACCAGAATATCACTTACCAATTTAATCAAGAAATTTTCACGCACCAGAGAGACAATATAATTCAACCTCTTGGCGTTTAAATATCAGCAAAACTTTTTACGCACGAGTGTAACGTAAGACAATATCATGTCTTGCTATACTTAGATGCCACACTTGCTTTAAACCGATTAGACACTAATTGGAAAGCCTGTGTGCACCTCTTCAATTGTTCTCAAAACCCCCCTCATATACACCACACTCAGCCAAGCACGTGTACTTACATGCGCACACACTCACGAATAATTGATAAAGCTCGGTCAACGAATCACGGCCATTTTATTTACACCCCCCCATATAATACCTTTTGGCAATATATATATTATATATATATATATATATATATATATATAACATATCTCCTTTTTTTCAAAAAAAAAAATTAGCCTCACTTTTTCTTTTTAAATTATTAATTTAAATTTAAATTTAAATTTTTTCATTCTTCTTTAATGTGAAACTTGATTTTATTTAACAAATAACAATAGAAAATAATAATAGAAACAATAATAATTAATTATTGGAGAAATTGTTATTTTATCGGTTAAAATAATATGAGAATGAAAGAACGCGCACACGCATGGGTATTGTTTGCGGTCGTGTCCTGCGCTTTTCGAGTCTCAAATACAACCCTCATTTTAGTGTCGCGTTTTACCAGAAGGTCGCGCTGTTATTAAAGGGGGATGCTGCGCTGGACCATCGACTGGCGGACTCTGGCGTAAGGTGATTCAAGTTTAAAATAGGGGAATTCGTATTTGATTTTATTTTTAAATTTATTTCTCATATATCTTTGAAATAATATCTCATTTTTAGTGTGAATAACTTACTATTATACATTTTTTATTCTATTTATAACAATTTTGAATTTATATAAATCGAAATTGAAAGTAAAAAATATAAATTTATGGGAAATATTTAGAAATGATTTTTAAATTGATTTATAAATTAGATATAAATAAAATAATTTTATTAATTTATTAATAATTATATAAGTATTAATAAATAAAAAAATTATTATTTTATTATAATTATTATTAAAAATTTTATTCGTAATTATTACTAATAATTACCACTAAAAATAATAATTAATAACAATTTTCTTTATCGTCGCATAAATATTTTATTTACTTAATTTTTACTTTGTTTATTTAATCTTTTGATTCTATAATTAAATAAATTGCAGTTTTTTTTTTAAAATAAGAATAATTAAATTTCATTGAAAATAATTTCATCTCAAGAAAAAAATTTTCCACATTATTTGACAATGAAATAAAATCTCTTTTTTTATAATATGTGGCAAAAAATTTAATTCGAAAAAATATATAATTAGAGCTTTTAACTGATAATTTGCACTAAATGCATATATATATATATATATATATATATATATATATAACAGATTTTTAGATGTCGCAAGTTGACAGCTGACACATTCCAGTCAATAGTAAATCTGACCACCAGCATAATAACGTCAAAAGCAAAACCAGTCCCCGATTTCTCATTGTTTGGCTTTGGCCCATATGTCGTGCATAATCGTACAAATCAGAAATAAGGGATAATATCCGAACAAGCAGGTCCAACATCAATTTTGGCTTCGATTCAATTTACCATTTTCTAATATAGACTTTCAACAAGACATATATTTTGGTAATTTTAATAAATTTTTCGTTGGTTTTTGTTGGAAATATTAATGCTTGATACAATCAATCATTTCCAAAAGATTCCACTTTAATTTATTAAATACATAAATAATTATTTCAATTTTAATACGCGATTTTTAACAATGTCTACTTGTCCTTAACCATATACTTTCTGATGCTTTAAACGATATAGTTTTAGATTTAATAAAAATTACTAATTCTGAAATATGTTTTTTCAATGTTAATTAATCGGTGAACATATTTTCGCAGGGAAATTAATATTTTATTAATTGTGAAAAAATTTTTAAGCTTTTAAAAGTTGTCCCTCACTTTTAACCTATTCAACCGTAATCATCGTACACTGAGAAAAATGTTTAGTATCATCTACCAAAGTTTGGTTCTCTCTACCAAATTTTTTATTTGATATATGTGCAACTAATCCGTTTGGTTCGGGCTACTAAATTTTTTCGTTGAATCATTTTGTTCGGTCTACCAAATTTTTTGTTTTGCACAACTAACTTATTGTTTTTAAGCAAACAAAAAATTTAGTTAAATGAAATTTTTTTTTTTGTTTTCTCAACTAACTTATTTTTTTGTTTCACCCTTTTCTCCGAGCTTTTCTCTTTATATAACCTACCTATGCCTACTTAAATTAATTTCTATCGCGGAAAAAACCTAACACTGCTGGAGCTCGAACCCTCAGACTACGCAACGCTAGTCGAGAACGCTGACCACTACTCTACGAATCCTACTAACAATTTGAGATTAAATCATTTTCACAATGTATAAAAGCTGGAAAAAAACTTTCGTTCTTGTAACAAGTTTTATTTATTTATTTTCACTACACAAACTTTTTTTTTAAAAAAATGTCTGAAAAACATAAAAACTTCAACACTGAAACTTCACGACGCGAACGACATATGGTTAATGTTGACATCCCGTGAATGGGAAGCGACGCCATATTTACGAGAAGAGCGCGTGCGCAATACAGCATGTCAGCTATTTAGTACTGGGAACCAAACTATTTAGTTCGTAAACATGAAAGCTTCAAATATATTTTTTGGTAGAGCCAACTAAACTTCCCGATTTATTGCCACTTTCTATTCTGTTGTGACAACCATATTTTAGTAACGCCAACTAAAAAAGCTCAACTAAATTATTTTCTTATTATTACGAAATTATTTTTCTCAGTGTATTTATGATTTTTCTTTTATAAGACAAGCGGCACGTTAAAATAACTTATGGGAAATCAAAGATCAAGTTACGATAATTATTTTGAGACATAATAAATTGATGTGCTTCATGTCTTCAAAAAACTATTAAGTTAAATAAACGAAAACACGCGTGGACAAAATTTGAAAACAACCGTAATACGAGTGATACTTCATGAAAATCATATAAAAGTATTTAAAAAAGTACTTGTATATATTTTCACATGTGCCATTTAACATCCCGTGAATGTGCTTCGAGAAAAAATACTTTATTGCAAAGATAATGTAAAAATATTCATCAATTACGGTCGATCGTAATCGACCGAAATTTTTTAGAAAGAAATTGTTATGTACGAAGTTGCCGATTATAATTTTTTTTATAGAAACTGTCATTAATTATTAAAACCTGAAGGTTAAGTTTTAATGTTTATTTCGAGACACAAAAATGGATCCAAAAAAATTCATTCTGAAAAAAGATAAGATGCGAGAGAAAAGAAAAATAGAAAAAAAATTGGAAAGTTTACGAATATTAAATTTAAATAGAAAAAAGTCTATGAAAATCGTATGGTAAATTTTAAAAAATACAATTTTACATTTTTAAAACAATTCACTATAATAAAAATCTATTTTAAAATGTAATGTAAATATTCAAATAAAAAATTTATATATCTAGTTATTTTTTGACACATGCTTTTATACCCAGTGCATTATTTCAGTATTTTATTATTCATATAAATATTGAAAATATTAAACGAATTTTATTGCTTTTTAAAATTATAACCCCTTAGAAAATTCCCTTCAACTGTTTTTTATCCTAAAAAGCAAACACCTGTTGAATATTTTTTTGTTACACGTTAAAAATAATTCTCAATTTTAAATATTTATAACTTTTTGAAGACAACTTGTTTTATCTGTCCACTTGTATAATTGGAAAGCTTAGTTCTTGAAGTTTATGTAGACAGAGTTTCAATACTGTGCTCAAAAACAAAAAAAAAAATTTTTCTTATTGAAAAGTTAAAGCCCAAGAAGCACGTAATATATCCTCAATATCAAGGTAATATTACACGTGAGATTCGTAATATAACGCTGTAATATTACAGTAATCTTACAGTGATCTTAAAATGTCCGCCTCAAGGTAATATTACCGGGAATATTACTAATATTAACGGTAATATTACAGTAATATTACAGTAATATTACAGACTGATTTGAGTTATTCATAAAGCATAAAAAACGTAAATATATTATAAGTCAATTTGGCTTGTTGGTAAAACTCTGGACTCGTGTGCTTTGAGTTCGGGGTTCGATTCCCTGGATGGGTAGATTTTTTTCGTAAAGAAATGTTCCCATAATATTACTGTAATATTCTCTTGTAATATTACCTTAATATTACGGTATAATATTACTGCAATATTACTGTAATATTACCTTAATATTAGCGCGTAATATTACAGTAACATTACCGGTAATATTACCTTAAGGCGGACATTTTAAGATCACTGTAAGATTACTGTAATATTACAACGTTATATTACGAATCTTACATGTAATATTACCTTGATATTGAGGTTATATTACGTGCTTCTTGGGAGGTTTCAAAGATATGCCCATATATATAATTCAAAATTAAATTTATTATATTAAATTTCCTTGGATTTAATTTCTTCCCCCAAAAAAAGGAGTAGATTTTTTTCATTTTTCATAACAACACACAGAAAAAAATAATCTGAGAGAAAAATTTGATATATAAAGCACAGAAAAAACCTAGTCTCATTCTTGTTGCAAATCAAAATGAGCCACTGCTAAACGACATAGACAGTGGCGCCACCAACCTGGTTCATTTTTGTTGCACATCAAAATGAGCCACCTACACGGCTCATTATGAGTTCAGTTTTTTTCTGTGAGGGTGATCAACATTTTTTTGTTTTAATTTTTAAACATAAAAAATGTCGATTAAGAAAAAAAACAAATTTCTTTGGGGGAAATTTTTATATTTTTTATGGAAAATAAAAAAAGTTCAACTCAAAGTTGCAAATTACTTTATATATTTTGTAATTTAAATTCTCGTTTACATTATTTGCATGGTCAATTTTGTTTCCCTTTTTTTTCTTGCAAAATACATTTCTATTTTTAATAGAAGAAAATTTCGCAAATTTAAACTAGAGAAAAAAAAATGTTCAACCTTGAATTTGCAAAATATTTCCGTTTTATTAAATCGTAATTCGACTGATTGAATGAATTATTCATTATAATTTCATAGTGAATTTTCGTTATTATATATATACATTTAATATAGGGTATTTTAAATAAAAATGAAAAAATTAATTTGCATGCGCTTTGAAATATTTTTTTAAAAAAAATTTCACGAATTTATAATTAATTTTATATTAAATAAATATTCTTTATCAATTTATGTCGAGTAAAAAATTCCATAAATACTTGAAATTTTGCATGATGACATTCTTTATATAAATTA